GTTGGGAACCACTGATTTACATAGAAGTCAATGATTGTTTACATTCAGTACTGTGTTGGTCTGTGGTTTGTTGCCAAATACGTAATAATAAGGGGTGAAGACTTTGTCCAGGCTAGGCCAAGGACTAGCCAAAAAAAGGGTCTGTCTTTCAAGCTGAAAACAACACACCAGTATGAGAACGTACTACATTAGCTAATATCAAACCCTTTTCGTAACGCCATTTGTTTACATCCATGTGATGGACAAATGAAGCTTCAGGAAGTCATGAAGTGTTTGTTCCGATTGGTTCTTAATGTGTGGTTGATGTAATGGAAGTATTTATTTATTTCTTAATAAACATATGTCAGTGTAATTTCATTAAGTGTGGTGCAGCGTCGGTATGCGATTCACTGAAAACTTACAGGATTTCTCAACACGCTCCGAGGCTTCGGCACAGGGAGACCCATCACTAGCAAAAGTAAGAGTGCTGAGCATAAACTGTATGAGTCGGTGGTTCTGAGGCTGCTGAATGCATTAGTATCTAAACGGGCTGATCAGGAGGGTTGATACATTCAGCAGCCTCAGCTCAATCTGCATGAACACATACCGGTATATTCCATCTATGCTCTGCACTCAAACGTTCATGTAGTAACACGGATGCTGTTCGATTGAGAAAACGGCAGCAAACTATGATAAATGTGTCACGCAAAAGTTTTTAACTTTAGCTTATGTAGCGTTCTTTGACACTAGTTTGTTTAAAAAATAGTTGTTTGATAAACATGAAAAATGATATAAAACAGACCATTGTTTGGCTAGCCATTAGCCCAGACAAAGATTTATTTTGTTTTCTCTGCACTTTGATAACCATTATATATCATATTGATAACTATTATATGTCATATTGATAACCATTATATATCATATTGATAACTATTATATATCATATTGATAACTATTATATATCATATTGATAACTATTTTACTATTGATAACTTCATGACCATATAAGTGTGTGTGGACAGTAACGATCTGATGAAAAGGCCATAAAGTGTTGGGAATCTATAAAGTAGCATTTGTTTGAACCACTATGATTTTTTTTAGATTGGAGATGCTTTAAGATGACAGCAGTCTACTTCGGTCTTGGATTAGCTGTTAGCTTCTCAATCTGGACAAAATTAAACTTTATTTCTTCAAGTGAGACCATTCATAGAGTTGTCTATAACAGGTAAGATATTAATTGCTTACAACTCTTCCACAGAATTTGATTTCAAAGAGCTTGAAGCTGACAATCACACCGATCTGACATTTCACGTCTCCATTTTTCCAGAAACTGTATGACCTCTTAAACCTGGAAGTCGATCTTCCCACTCCAAAGCTCTGATGTGAAAACAATCAACATTCAGCAACTACTTTACCAGATGTTGCTAGATTCCTGAGCAACTCTAAACCTCTGGGAGCAGTTCGGAGTTCTAACTAGGCTGAACTGACCTAGTAAAGTATTTATGCACGTCAGGACTTCCAGATGATGTTTCCAAACCCACTGTGATTTTGTGAGCCACAGAAAAGCAGCTACCTGTGCAGCGGCCTCTTCGTAGCCTGTTGTCCCGTTGATCTGACCCGCCAGAAATAGACCTTGAGTGTTTTTCACTTGCAGTGAGGGACTCAGCTGGGTGGGACACACAAAGTCGTACTGGACGCCATAACCTGGACAACGAAAAATGTAGAATTAAAAGTTTTGCATTCCTTGAAGGAATGCATGTCGCCCACCGCCTTGTACGCCAGAGTTTTAGACTCAAATCATCCTACGATGAGAAATGACGAAGGTTTAACCGTTTGAGCCAAAACACGATCCTCTGATTTTCTATCCAATGGGACTGATCAAACAGGATGTACCGGGTGTGTGGATCTCAGCTCGGTGCAGGGGAGGGATTTCTCTGATGAGGCGGAGCTGAGCGTCGGGGGGCATGGTCATGGACAGACCCTGTGGGTATAAAAGGTCAGAGGTCACCCCCTCGGGCTCTAGCCACACCTGATGGTTGCGACCCGGAAAACGCAGCACCCTCGACTCGATGGAGGGACAGTATCTGTGAAAGAAGCACACAGTTACTCCTGATAACTCCAAGTGAGTGTGTGTGTGTGTGTGTGTGTGTGTGTGTGTGTGTGTGTGTGTGTG